GCTTTAAATTTAGAGGTACTTTACCTGAAAAAGTATCCGGAGGCTGAAAAATATAGTGATCATATTATAACATACTCTTCAAAAATAAGTTTGCCTATGTTCCCTGCCTTTGTGGACACTACTCTGTATATTACATTAACAAAATTAGTTTTAGAAAAAGATCAAATTTGTCTTGTTAACCAAATTTTAGGGTTTACTGAAATTATTAAAAACTACCTATATTCAGAAAGATTATTATTAAGTGACAAATCATGACTACAGAAGATAATATACAAGTTGGGGTGGGTCCCTTATGCAAAGATTCCTCTGCTGGCCTGTGCTGTCTCTACCTTAATTTTAGGGAATCACCACTGTCCTCCCCCTTGCCCAGCATGTGGTCCAGATGACCTGATTTCCTCATCACTGTGACTGGTCCATGGCTTAGCCAGTTGTATGCTGAACTGTTTTGGAGTATTCATCTTCACCAGAGAATGTGGTGGTTTTACCTAAGGAAGGTCCAGCAATTACTCAGAATACTGGCCAAGATGCCCATACAATAGTGTTGAGCTAGGGCTAGGGTCTGGTGCTCACAGACCCCTCGAGCCCATTCACAAACCCTTCACACGTAGGTCTATAATCTAGGTAACCAGCAAAAAGGTTCTTGGAGCCTTGGTTGAAGAAGGAATAGTCTTTATTCAGCACACACATGTCTAAGAGATAGGCAGTACAAAGGAGAAACTCAGAAACTCAACTGCTACAGCAAAGTCCAAAGAAAAAACTGAAACTGAAGAACACACAAAAGCAATTAACTAAAAAGATACACTGGTGCACATATACACTAACTCCACCCACACACAACTTGTTTACAAAGAAATGTGCTGCACAATCCCCCAACCAGACCTAAGCCCCAACCAGACCTCAGCAGAGGGAGCCTGACTAAATTATTCTATTTTCCCCTCCCAACCAGACAGACCTAAGCCCCAACCAGACCTCAGCAGAGGGAGCCTGACTAAATTATTCTATTTTCCCCACAAATAGGCATATACATTAGCCATAGAAACTTGCCGGGTTTTACTGAAATGTGTTCTCTTTGACCGGTTGTTGTTGTCCTTTAATTCATTAAAGAAAATGTTGGAGTGGGGAGGCAACAGATTGAATTTATAAGGCACCTGAAGACAGAAAAATAAAACAGTGGACGAAA